CCGTGACATTTAGCATGCCAAGGTTAGGGAGGTTAGCAGGGGAGGGCTGGCAGCCTTAGTCCTGGGGGCCACACTCAGTCAAGTGGCCCATTGCACCACCGAATCAGCTCACCATCCATGCCCACCTTTTCTTGCTTTTATAATGCAGCCAGTCACACTTAGGGAGGACCACTAAGCAGGGGGGGGAGGAGTGAGAGTACCACCAAGAGGGGGGGACTGAGAGGGGCCACTAAGGGGTTGGGGACTGGAGAGGACCACTAAGGGGGGAAAGGGAGGACCAATGTGGGGGAGGGGAGGACCACTAAGGGGGGTGGGGGGGAGAGGGAGGACCACTAAGGGGTGGGGGAGAGGGAGGACCACTAAGGGGTTGGGGAGTGGGGGTAAGGGAGGACAACTAAGGGGTTAGGGGAGAGGGGACTGGCGAGGACCACTTAGAGGGATGGAGAGAGAGGGGGGAGTGAGAGGACCACTAAGGGGGGAGTGAGAGGACAGAGGAGACAGCTCTAAGGGAGGTGAGAGCACTAAGGGACAGAGGGAAAGGAATATCACTAAGGGACAGGGGGCCAAGTGAGAGCACTAAGGGACAGGAGGGGAGGGGAGATCACTAATTGAAAGTAGGGGAGAGTGCTATAAAATAAAATAAAGAGCTGCTCCCCTCTCAGCCCCTATCCTACACTACATTTAATGAGAACACACACACACACACATATTACATCCTCTACAATAACATATAACACATCCCCTACACACATACACTCCACTCCCTGTGAGCGAACTCATGGGTGACCCATGTAGGTGTAGCTCTTTGAATGTCTAAGAAGTCTATTTGTGTGCTGTTACTGCAAATCCTTCTACATGCTCTTAAAAAAAACATTGTGTTATATAATCTTGACTCTGTGACTCGCAGGTTTTTTTTTTTTTTTATAAACTGTAATTCATAAAGAGCCAATAAAGTCACAGATTAATCATTAAGAGACATTCCAAGAGCTACGTAAAACCAGAGATTGAAGTTCACAACTGAAAGATACTGCACACTGGTTGTTTTTCTTCTTATATCCCCTCTGGAGGAAACGATACTGTGAGAGTAGTGTGTTGCTGCCCTAAAACCAAAAAGGTTCATCCTACAGAGCCAATATTATATAAGCTCCAGAACATGTGAGTGGTTCTAGCGTTTTGTTTAATATCAGACCAGAACTGTTTTGTACCATCTGCATTATTATTTTGTCATATTATATACCTTTGAGTAAATGATCACACTGTATTTGCAGGGTAAGTTTAAAGCACCCCTACACAGACCAGATAGAATTATTCAGTGCTCCATTAAGGGGTATTTTATACCACATTTTTGTTGCTGTTTTATGTAGTGTGGATAAAAGGGTAGTTCACATTAAATGTTGAGCTGCTGATCACCAAGACACGTTATTGTACCAC